ACTTTTTATAATTTTAGGCTTAAATGCCCCGTTTGACTCTGAACTATATTATTTGTATCGAGTTGTCCTCTAAAATATTTTTTGAGATATTTTTCCCTTTCAATCATAAATTGTTACCCTATTTAACCCAAATCATTTATACCGTTAAAAAAATTCACTGATCAATTAAAACACGCCACATAACCCCTTAATATTTTTTTTATCTGAATAAATAAAAATCTATTAAATAAAATAAAACTTATAGTATACCAAAAATGTCCTTCCCCTTCCCTCCCCCTCCCCCTCCCCCTCCCCCTCCCCCTCCCCCCACCTCCACCGTAACCCCACAACACCTCCATTTTTGCTTTCTTTCATTTTGCTTCATCTCTCTCCAGCAAATCACCGAGAAACAGAGCACCAAACCCTCCCTTTCCCTAACAGATATTTCCATTCCTCTATTTTACGATGTTTTTTTCTTTGATAAGCTCAAAAGCTTCGTGCTTTGAAAAACCTTTTATCGGATGTTTCGAATAAAATAAATATGCCATTGTTTTTCTTTGGTGGTGAAAAGAAAAGGTTTTCTTTTACTATTGTTGCTTTTGGGTTTTCACTTTGTTTTATTTGCAGATGCCTGAGAAAGGAGGGAGCTTTGTTCCAGTTCATCAATGACGGTTTGGGTTGTTAACAACTTTGGTTCTCGTCGGCATGGTGGTGGTTTGGAGCATAGATGGCTGCACCATCAAGGATTTCATCAAGTCATGGCAGTTTAAACAAGATCACATCACATTGAAAGTGAAGTCCTTTGTTAATATCAATCAAACTCACCAAAACCCGTCACATTTCCTTCGGAATTTCCCCTTAAACCTCACTTTAAACACTACTGATCTCCCCCTTTTTAATGTTAATTCAACGAAATCCGATGATTTTTCGGTTCTGAACTGGGTTTCGGCTTAGCTTGAGACCAACTTCACTGCAAATCTGTTGAGCAGATGGTTGGCTAAAGGAGGAGAGCCTTGTAAGGACTCTGAAACCGTGGGGATCAAGATCCTTGGTTTGGATCAAGAAAAAATGGTGGAATTATCCGCTGGTGAAATCCATGATTTTGTGTTTGAATTTGTTGATGAGTCCGGGAATGCTCGTTGTTTAGGTGGGGATTACGTCGAATTTGATCTTTCGGGTGATTCGTGGAAATAAAAAATGGAGGTTGTTGGGGGAAGGACATTTTTTTTTGTATACTATAAATTTTATTTTATTTAATATATTTTTATTTATTCAAATAAAAAATAAATATTAAAAGGTGATATGACGTGTTTTAATTGGTCAGTGAAATTTTTTTAACGGTATTAGAGATAAATAAAGTAATAATTTTTAGTTGATTGGACAAAATATCTTAAAAAATATTTTAAGAGAAAATTCGATATAAGTGATATAGTTTAAGAGATATGAGATATTTAATCCATAATTTTATTTTGATCCAATACCAATACATTGGTCATATATCAAATATTTCTCGCTTATTAGTCGTAACATACCCTACTTGATTTGATATGGCTGAGACTATATTCTAATTATTGCTTTTTGAAGATTATATATTTTAATTGTTAATTGAAAGAAAAAGGGAACAATTTTGAAGATAGAGAATTATAGAAATATCTAAAGGGAATTACTTAGGGATGAGCATGGGTCAGGTTGGGTCGGGTTTTTGGTCCACCCGACCCGACCCGAGAAGAAGAGGACCTCCACCTGTGACCCGACCCGACCCGAGAAAATTAGTTTTTCATCTGACCTGACCCGATAGATAGTTTAAAAAATCTGACTCGACCCGACCCGAAATAAAAAAAAATTATTTTTATTCAATAAAAACAGTGACTAAATTGAAGAAAAAAAATATATAGAGGGGTATTATTGTAATTATTATTAAATATATAAGATAAAATTATATATTTTTCTCGGGTCGGGTCGGGTCAGATTTTTTTTCATCCTAAATCCGAACCCGACCCGACCCGAACACCACATAAAAAAACCTTACCCGAACCCAAAAGTTTTTTTTAAAAAATCTAACCCGATCGAGTTGAATCGAGTCGAAACCCGTTGAGTTCGGGTTAGATGCCGATCCCTAGAATTACTATACAGCCAAAACATAATGCTAGGGGGACTAATTATTGCTACATGTGGCCACCTTTTATGACGAGAATAGTGTAGAGACTAGAGAGGCAATTTTGCTTTTTCAGTGAGACCCAACGCTTCGGTCGTGGTAGTCGGGAAGAAATCAATGGTGTTTCCATTCTTATGTTTTTTATATAATATATCAATATTCAATTTATTAATCGGTTAATCTAAATCGGTAACAATAAAAGTGAGGATGACTCTTTCAGTCTAATTTAATTCATTCATAAACATCAAGATTCAAACACTTAACATTACTAAAAAAATTTAATATCTCGTATCAGTAGTTAATTGTTGCTTCTATCCTTATTAATTCAACATGAACATGATACTTATCAAAATGGTTAATTGAACCTGTTGAGGCTAACAAATTAAAAGGAAATTTGATCTTTAAAGCTTACACTGCATTCGGTAAATTAAAACAAAAAAAGTTGTCATCAATTGAATTATAAAGTAACATATATTGATATGAATCATAATTATCAAATTAACGTTTGTCAAAGAAAGTACCAAATTTGATCTCTTATTATGGAAGGAATACACATTTCTTTTCAATCTCATAAGAGTTTGAGCTTGTGATGTTTTTTGTAAAATATTTAACAACGGTTATAAAATTTCAATTTAAATCTAATTTATTAACAAAATTATGCACTTATTCAATTTATTTTTTTTCAAAAAAAGTAATATGAAATTGGACTTGTATTCTTAGAAAAAGAGTCATTTTTGACACATGAAAAGGAAATTCTTAAATGCTCCAAAAAGAGTTAAACCCCGTGTTAGTTTCATGATTTGGATACAAAATATATTGAAATTCAAAAACTCAAACCTAATCAAGTTAAATTAAGGTAAAGTATACAATGGTCCTCTTACTATAGGGAAGCAACTTTATCAACTTCATTGATTATTAAAAGTTACAAAATGGTCCTCTGACTATAGGGAAGCAACTTTATCAAGTTCTTCAATTATTAAAAGTTACCAAATGATCTCCCGATTATTCATAATGTTCCAAAATAAAATTTAATCCTAGAATCCCAAATCACTAACATATCTTAGTCATCATGTTGACGTCCAACTTAAACAACCGCCAATTTTTTAACAGAAATTAATGAGTTCGGAACATAATGAATAGTAGGGTGACCATTTTATAACTTTTAATAGTCAAGAGACTTAAATAAAGCAACATTCTATAGTCAAATGACCATTTTTTTAACTTTTAATAGTTAAAGGACTTAATAAAATAGTACTCTATAGTCAAGGGACAATTTGTATACTTTACCATTTAAATTAAATGTCAATATAATTTATTTTATTCATAAAAAATTAAAATCTTAAACTCATTTGGCTTGAACTTAAAATCGATCAGAAAAGATATAAACCCAAAATACTCATAATTTGAAATGATCTGAACACATAACGATTCGATAAGAACAATTCAAACTCTAAATTCAAATAACTTGAACTCTAAATCACCCAAACTCAGTAAAAAAATTAAAATTTATTCAACCCTAAACTAATCAAACCAGTCTTTATTTGACAGGTCTAATCCAAAGAGAGGTTAATATTTGATTTCAAAAATACTTGTAAATCGAAATAGACGTCAATTAGGGATCAACTTATGTAGTACAAGTACTATTTGGTCCCTCGTTTTGGATTACTGCTTTAAAATGTCCACATTAACACTGTCGGGTTGCCAGCAGCCTGTGTCTGATGCTAATATAAATTCCAAATCCATAGTGTATCAAAATTGTTATACAAAGCCGACCCATCAAATAACCTAAGTGGTTAAAGAGAGTGTTATTATCTTTTCAGATCCTTAGTTCAAACAATTTCATTTACAGAGTGAATATAAATTGTAAATAACTAAAAAAAATATTCTAATCAGATATTACTTTATAATTAAAAGAAGTTATTATACGAAGCACTTTCTCATGCAAGAGGTTGTTAGGTTTCTGTTCGATCTGAGTTATGGCCTTTAGTTATTATCATTTTAATCGTTCTATGTTTTCATAAAAAGATTACAAGGAAAAAATAATTATTCAAAATTAATAACAATTAAAATTAAAATAATGTTTTTTTATCGCTCCATGTACTTAAGTATAATATATTCTTGATGAAAGTGTTATAGTGCATGAGATCTATCATCAATTCTTATTTGATATGGCGTATCGAGAATTGTCTTACAAATCTATCTTCAAAGTCATAAAAGTTGCTCAAACAACAGGGAACGTCAAGTTGGTAGGGATATATATTCCATTCCTGCCAAAATGTTTAAGAATCCAAATCACATTTTAAAAATGCTTCTAATTTTAGTAAACAAATAAATAATTGAGGATTGGTATAGGAAGACATAATGGAAGAATAAATCTTGATATTTATAATATACAAATTTTTTTAAAAAAAATAACAAAATTAAAATTGACATAATATTATCAAAAACTATTGAGTGGCGTGAGCAGTAAATGAAATGTTGTTTAGAGCCTAATGGATTCGGGTTAAAGAGTATATATGTACGCTATAATATGTTAAAAAAATTCTGAATAAATACTACATTATGATCGCATACTATTAAAACAAATTAATCTAACTTCGAATACAATTTGAACTTTTGTAATCAGCCAGTACTGGTAAGAAGCTTCGTGGTCAAACCATATTCTTCAGGTTTACATGTGTGAGATCCGGCTTGGCTGCATAAAAAATTCACCATTTATTTATATTAAAATATGTCTTACAGCATATTTGTCATACCTTGTTTCATTTATGGAATCACGGATGAGATCATTTTCTCTACTATAAATAACTTTACCAATTAATGGAACTTACACATTAGAAGCCGTGCTTGTAAACCTACTATCATATTTGAAACCTAAAATCAACTAAAAGTCCATTTTTAGGGTTAACGTGAATTAGGGAAAGTGCCATGGACGATCCAAATAAAAGCAAGAAAGAGGAAGCAAAAGAAGTAAAATATAGAGGAGTGAGGAGAAGGCCATGGGGAAAATATGCATCTGAGATTCGAGACCCTTCAAAGCAAGGTGCACGGTTATGGCTGGGGACATTCGATACAGCGGAGGAAGCTGCTCGAGCTTACGATCGAGCCGCGTTCAATATGCGAGGTCATATGGCTATTTTGAACTTCCCCCATGAGTACTATCCTCTACTCGTGGCGGGGTCATCATCTCTAAATCCATATCCGTATCCTCCTCCTCCTCCATCGTCTGTTGGTATCAATAAGAGCTTTGACAAAGGAAGTTCGTCGTCCGGTGGACAGCAAAAGCCCGTTTTCGAGTTTGAGTATTTGGACGACAGGGTGTTGGAGGAGCTACTTGAAGCTGAAGAGGAGAAGATTAAGAAGAAGAAATGGAAAGATTGAAAGCTCTTAATAAGGTTCTCTACACTTTGGTTTTGCTTTGAGTTCTCTTTCATTTCCCCCCAGTTTCAAGTAAACTACTAAGCTTACGAATTTCTGCCCCATGATTATGGTAAATTAATATATGTTCAATCACTTTTTCATAAATGTTTTTATCCCACTTTTGTCAGTTCTTGAAAGAGGCTAGTAGTTGCAGATCTATTATACTAAGCAGCTATGGATTTATTGAAGTTAGAGCAAATGCAGTTGCTATTACAATACACTATATGGTCTCGAGCTATTTTGGCTTCACACTCTCTTCATTTTTTTCTGCAAAAAAATTGAGAAAGTGATTTTGGATTCCTACATCAATTTCCCTTCTTAATTGCTTGTTAACTGTTATTGCATGAAATTTGCAGAGGGGTATGAGATCATGGTCAACTCATTAAGCCACAGCAATTAAAGCTATAGAATTGCAAGGTTTATGAAAGAGGTGTCTAAATTTGAGGTTTCAAAGAGATTGCTAATTTTAAGAAATTTAAGATCCTTTCTTGACTACACTTTTATTCTTGCTTTTGCTGAAATTTGAAGTTTTACATTAGTTGTGGGAGCAATGTCTATGGTATTAATTTTAGGTTAAACTATACCATTAATCATTAAATTTTAGGGTTTGTTTTTATTTTAATCACTAAACTATATTTTGTCATTAGATTTTCTGAATTGATTTTTAGTCATTGGGATGATAAATCATTAACAATCGAATGATGTGATATCTTAGTATTAATGTGACTATTTTTTTTTTCTCAATCCCATTATTTTCTTATTAGCGCTTAAGGTTTCTTCTGTTTTCTGTTCAAAGATAATTCTCTACCATTTGACATTGAACGTTCACACCCATGACATTTCTAGTGCTCAAACCCGCGACCTCAAGGAATAACAATTTTTTTACCATTTAATCACTTAATCAATTTAGTTTCCCCCAAAATGTTCTTAAAACTCACAAAATTAATCTAAAAATTTATTATTTTTTTTAGTTTAGGATTTTTTTAAATTTGAGGGATTGGAATGTTCATTCGAAAATCCAAACTATGAGAAGTATTATTCTAAAAAAGCAAACAACACACCCCAAAATAGTCCTATCAAACGATCAATGGATGAGATTAAAGCATTAAGGGTCAAATAGTTAGATGATTTTTCATGGATTCTGGATGATTTACTGAGAAGATAATGTCATCGTGATATTAATGACTTAACAACAACAAAAAACGAAAAAAATAGAAATTTAGAAGCAAAATTAGTTTTTTTTTATATAGTTTAATGATCAAAACGCGTTAGTATCTAAAATTATGAGACTAATGGTGTAGTTTATTCTTATTTTATATTTGTTAAAAATATTAACTTTTAAGACATTCATATTTTATATTGCATTCGATATGCTTGGATATGGCTATATATGAAGCTTAATTCTTTAAATATATGAATTTATATCAGCTACGCTTATTCTTGATAAAAGATTTATGCTAAAGTAAATGGTGGTATACATATGTAAGGAACTATTCATTTTATCTCCAAATAATATACTTCTCGGATTGCATTGTCTATTTGTCTCAAGAGCAGCTGATCTCTGAAATGGAAAGACTTGTATTGTCTTTTTAGAATCTTATTGTGGACAGATTACAAAATAAACTGTCGAAATATAATCTTGTTAAGCGCTTTAATTTGATAAAAGTTGCTTTTCCCATATAATCCTAGTTGAAGGATCTTTATTCTCAGTCTTGGACACAGTGAAATGCTCATAGACTTTACCAATAAAATGCCCCCAAAAGATTAAGTGTTCACCTTTGGCTTGCAACAAAAAACAAATCTAAAGAGATCTGACACAAAGAATACAAATGGTGATGGTTACACGTGATGGTGTCTTGGTTTAGAAAAGACTTTGCGTAGAAAGGGTTATTCATTTTTGATTCTCGAAAGCAAGAGGTCTAATTAAGACCAAGCTAAAGCCTCATGAGTAAGGAGTCAACAAACGATTCCAACACAAAGTTTTACCTATTAGATAAGGCTGTAAGCATAAATCGAGCAATCGGATACCACAACGTGAAAACTACTGAGCTGACAAAGGCCTAATCCCCATATCCGAAAGGGACATCACAATTGAAAAATGCAATCCCTACTTTCATGTATGGATTCTCGATCTACTTTGTATCGATCTTTTATTCTATTTTCAGAGGGTAACTGTCCTAACTGTTCTCTCGGTCCATTCATTAGTGGATTCATTTGGTACGGGACTTTGAAAATGAAATATTTGCTGAACTTAGTGGAATGAATTGATTAATAGACGTGTTGGAGATAGGTATAATGCCATTTCCTGCATTGGAAGAAGTGTTTAACGTGTTACAAAGGGAAGAAAGCAAACAACAATGCGTACCTTTATTCGTGAATTTCATACAGCAGTAATATCAAAATCCATCTTTTTGAGTTGCTGTAAAAGAGTTTATTAATGATTTCAACATAATTTATGGTATTAAATGATATGTTTATAAGAACAAACTAATAGTAATAGTAAAGCAATGATTCTTCGTATATTATCAGCGTTTCTCCCATAAAAACACTGCAAAGTGGTTCTATATAGTGGCGTTTAAAAGAGCCACATTTGTAAATTACATAGCATTATTTCAATAAGTGATTGATGTGTTTACCCTTTCACATTTTCTTGCTGTTTGTCTCTTCATTTTCGAGAAGTTCTTCAAGCAATTTATCATCAAAATACTCAATTTCGAAAACCTGTTTGTCTCTTCCCATCGACGACGACGAAGAAGAATAAGAAGAACCAACGTGGGAAGAAGCATAATAAGCATAAGTAGAACCCCCATTACCCATGGGATACTCCTCCGGGAAGTTGAGAATTGCTAAGTGGCCTCTCATGGCATACGCCGCTCTATCATAAGCTCGAGCAGCCTCCTCGGCCGTGTTAAAAGTGCCCAACCAAACACGAGCACCGTGCCTGTTCGAGTCACGAATCTCCGCCGCAAATTTCCCCCAAGGCCGCCGTCGTACTCCTCGGTATCGAGTTGTCTCTCCTCCGCGCTCCTTGCCATTACAACTACCCTCCATGGCCAAAACTAAAGCACGTTAACATGTACTGAAAACCCTCCTTTTTTGCATGGGAGAGATGAGTGGAAAACTGGAAATATAGCATTTTATACGGATAAAAAGGAAGGAAAGAGAAGAAAGTACCCATTTTGGGTTTGGGTTCTTAAAATTAAACACATGGCTGAGAATTGTTGGCAGTTGCTGAACAATAACTTTGTTTGACACTTAGTTTTCCGTCCAATGTATCTGGATGGTCAAGGCGATGGCTATGGTGTTTTTACCATCTTTTCCTTTTCAAAAGTTTCACTTTTCCGTAACTTTTATTCTTATTTTATAGTTTATAATAGGGTAAATTACACTTTCAATACCTAAATTATTATTTATATTCTATTTTGATAATTAAACTTTATTTTTTAAATCATATCTAATATTTAATTCAAGTTTTATTTTGCTGTCCGTAATTAATAACTTAACAGTGATATTGACGTGTCATTTCAGGTGATGTCATATCATTATTAAAAAAAATAAAAAAATGTCACTAATTATATTAATTTTTTAATGACGGGTAATAAATTAAAACATAAATTAAATATCAGATAAAATTTTAAAAAAGTTGAATACTAAAATAGAATAAAATAATAGTTTAGATATTAATAATGTACTTTACCCTTTACAATATATGTTAGGGTCATAGGGATGAGTTGAATAACATAAATGAAATATTTGTTGGCTTTATGTCATTTCATTACACGTGTGATGGTTTTTATCGAGTTTAAGTAGTTAAACCTATATTGGCTTTCAAAACTTTATTTATTAATTTTAGTTTTTAAAACTTATTTATTTTTTTATTTAAATGTACATTTGACCCCCTCTATTTGTAATCTAAAAATAAAGCGAATTCTTATTTTTCAATTATGAATCAATTGAGTCTCTATTGTTAAAATTACAATTAATTGAGTCCCTTGAACTCCATTCACTATTCATCACACTTATGGTTGTTAAGTTGATGATAAAAATATATCTAAAGTCCTAGTTCTTTTAAAGAAAAATCAGTATGGCCATTAAATTATTTTTGCACCCAATATGACCCTCTAATTCAGAAAACGAACTTAATGTAGCCTTTAACTATTGTTTTCCATCGTTGATCGTTATGATGTTGACATAGTAGTTCACAATGCTAATGTGACAGTCCACAACGGTTTATGACATGGTGGATAGGTTAGATTGGATCTTTTGTTATATTTGAGGGCCAAATTGAATTTTTAAAGTCCAGAAGCTTATTTAATTTTAAAAAATAAAAATTATTTCAAATTTAAAATATACAAATATTTAAAAAAAACTAAATATAAAATAATAAAAATAAAAATTAAATTACCAAAAAATTAATATATATATATATATATATTAAAAACAAAATTAAAAAATATAATAAGTTCTAAAATGATAAATTATTAAAAAACATAAAATATTAAAAAAAGTATATATTATACATAATATATACTTGTAACATATAAGCACAAAAATAAATCAATCATATTCATATAGTTAAATTAATAAGAGTAATATACTTTTATTTTCATATATATGTCAATTATCACTAAAGATTTCATATACTTTTATGCTATACATGCACACAAACTAAATATTATTTCATTATCATACAATCATATTTTCATTTTTATTTAATTAAGATATGATCAATTTTGTTTTTATTTATTAAAGATATGGCCACCACGGGTTAACTGCCGCTAATAGTTAACATATTAAGTGACATGATATTTTAGTATAATCACACATTCGATCCATGTTATTTACACATTCTCTCAATTTAGTCATACTTTTAATAAATTTAATCCTCCAATTGAATGATGTCACATGTCACTGGTGTCATGTGTCGTGCCACATATCATCATTTGGTTGGATGACTAACTTTATTTTAATTTATTTTAATTTAATATATTTATTTTCCAATAATTTGCTTTGCTTTGTTAAATTAAGATAAAATACAATAAATTAAAATAAAGTTAGTCTTCCAACCGAATGGTGACACGTGACACGACACATGGTACCAATGATAGTGGCATTATTCGATTGGAGGATTAAATTTATTTTAATTTATTAAAAGTACGACTACATTAAGAGAATATATAAATAATAGGGACCAAATATGTGATTATACTAATATATTTAAAGGCAATTAATTCATAGTGACCACATCTTAATTAAATAAGAACGAAGGTGATCATATCTTATATATTTTGAAATCAGTGATCAAAAGTGAATAAAACACAAACATACATATTTTTAATAATTTATAATTTATTATTTTATCGCTTATTATTTTTTTTCAATTTTTAATAGTGTGTATATATATATATTGGTAACAAATGAATAACTATAAAACTATCTAGTAACCAGCATTGAGGTAGTCTTCATCCAACACAGTCCTCACCTAAAACATATAATATTCAATTAAATAACATTAAACCTAAAAAACATAACATTAAACGTTGAAACTAAATATAAAAAAATATGATATTCAACTAAACATAATATAAAAAAACAAACATAATATAAAAACATAAAAACTAAAAAAAATGACTGTCCCTTTTTTCCATATGTATGGGGTAAGGGGGAGGGTAAGATAGTAGGCTACCCTCAACACCAAGTTGAGAGCAGCTTTCGTAAGAGACCTCTGAATTATGAAATTCTCTCCGTGGGACTCGATCCCACGACCTCAAGGATTAGAACCTTGTGCTCTACCAACTGAGTTAGATGGTCATTTCTTAATATGTTAACTAGATAACATTAAACATTAATATAAAAACATAACATTAAAACATAATATTCAATTAAAAACATAATATTAAACATAAAAACTAAATATACAAAAATATAATATATAGTTAAAAACATGCCTATGTTAATATAAAAACTAGTGATGTCTTCTTCCTGAAAGTGTTCCACAATACGTGGTTGTTTATTTTTGAACAAGATTTCTTTGTATAGATTGCTCTTCCTCTTCAGTCTCATCATCTTCATTGAAATTAGCTTTATCTTGTTGGATCGGAGTCGATGTCGAAGAAGGACCTCCATGGAATAACAAATGTTGAGGTGTATGATGAACAACCCCACCACTTGATGAGAACTGCAAAAATTATGAAAAGAACGTCATCGGTGACTGGGCTGCATACGATGGTGGTGGTGGTGATAGAGGAGAATCATCTGCCAGATACGGTGGCACATTTTTTAAAACACACGTGGTTTGAATAGAAATGAGAATATATTGTTTGGGTACATAACTCACTTCTATGAAACTTAAAAAGTTATAGATTTGAGGAAATTAAGAAAATAATTTCACATGAAAGATACTTTCATAGTTTTATATTCAAAGAAAATGACATATTTGAACACTAAAACGATTAAGATATTTTTGAAATTGTGAACACCATTTAATTGAAATACTTATTGCATTAGAAATTGTATTATTTTGTCAACAGTCTTTTTCAGAGTTCTTAGTTTAATAATAAGGAGAACGCCATGAAAATTTTAAGAACTAAGTTTGTCAAAGTATGATTTATGCCTTAAATACATATTTTTGATCACCTAGACAAGTTATAGTAGGATGACATAATATGTGAGACTCTTAGAAAGCATGAAATGATTAATAATGCACAAAATGGTTAAGTGACTTGCATTTAAGTTAACTTTATATGCAATATTTGACTTTGGATGCTAAATATTTGTATGTTATGTTAAATGATGTTAAGAAGCACATTACATATGTATTACGACATGTTCTAAGTGGTTTAAGGGTGTTCAAGCATGTTCGTAGACCCTAGGAGAAATTGCATGACCTATTGGATGCATGTTCATGTACATTAATATGAATTGTATGCATTTTTCATAAAAAAAGATCCATCATTTGCTCAAAAGTATCGATCCCTTAAAGCAAATGATCGATCTCTTCCCCAAATGATCGATCCCAAACTTACTATTTTGTAAATGATCAATCCCCTGTGAAAAAAGATCGATCCCTTTGTTGTTTGCTCGATGAAAATTGGTAAAATTGCATTAATTAAGGGTCTAAAGAGTTCAATAAGTCCTTGGATGGTCCCTAAACCTTAAAATGTATTTAATTTGGTCTAGAAACATGATTTTGCAATTAAAGCTCGGTTTCAGCTCGGATTTCGTTTAAAGTTGTTCTATGACTATATAATGATAATAATTTTATATTGAAATCTTAAATTTCATATTTTTTGTTTATTTTCATATTTTGAATTGCTTTCATTTTAGTTCCTAATTTGGGCATATGCAATTGGGTCCCTATTTGACATCCGATTAACCTGAAAATTTGCATGCCACTAATTAGTGATTAATAATGAATATTGGTAACTTTAAAAATGAGAAGTTGACTTGTACAAGCATGTGGTGCAAAATGTCCAAATTACCCATACATTGTGAATGATGTTTATCTTACGATATTATATCATGTAAATATTGTGATTGATATTCTTGTTGGTTATTGTCATGTATTTCACGATACTTGATTTAAATTTAAATTATTTCTGTATAATATACATGTTTAGGGTTTTTGTTATGTCAAACATGGTTGGAATCTAATGTACACTCAGGTACCCAGGTTAACCTTAGTAATCAGGTATAGGGTGTTACATGGTCTAAGGACCCGCAGCTAAAGAAACCTCCAGTCGCTCAATAACACTCTTTGGGGTGCCTCTCTGATCTATCGGTGCTAGATTCGGAAGCCAACGATAAGGGTTTCCTGCGATAATCATATATACCTCCACAGTCCAATCTCTAAGTTTCCCCTCTAGACGACCATGATGGCGGTCTCCTTGAACTCTAGAGGGCCTAGACCTACTTGGCTGGTAGTTGAGATGGCCTAGTAGTCTCTGGAGCTTTCTGGCTATGACCTACTAAGTCGCTCACCACCTAAACTTTCTTGAGCAAAATTCTCTCAACTGACTTTGCCTGACGAGTCATGTAACATCCTCAATATCGGGTTAGTGATTAAATTGTAAAAATTCAGAATTTGATGAC